AAAAAAAAAAAAAAAAAAAAAAAAAAAAAAAAACACATCTTAGTAAAACCAATACCTTCTCAGCTTCGCATCGAAGCTAAAAAATTAATATAATAATTAATATAATTTATTAATTTATAATTAATGAATAATAATTTATTCCTATGTATATTTTTTTATAATTTTTCAGTATTTGTAACTAAACAATCAATTTTTATGAATTATTTTGATATAAAATTTAAAAAGTAAATTATTATTTTATTTATTTAACACTATAAAATTAAAAAATAAACCATAATAAAATTAATTCAAATGAACAGTAACCAAACGTACTTTTTGACTGTTTAAGTCAATTTTTTAAAATAAAAATAAATTTGTTATATATAATCTATTATCATATTTTAACAATGATTAGAGTTGTATTCATTCGTTTTTCTATAAAAACCAAACATTTTTCGACCTTCATATGTAAAATTCATAATAAATCAACGTTTTTTTATTCATTATATAAAAAATTAAGTTTGAAATCTTGAAGTATACTAAAGAAATATAATACAATTTTTAATCATTTTCACATTTAAATTATTTGTATTTAATTTTTTTTAGCTTTGATGAGTGATGAGAAGGTATTGATTTTATTATGTCCTATTTTTTTTTCTTAATGACATGAACATTTCACNGAGTGATGAGAAGGTATTGATTTTATTATGTCCTATTTTTTTTTCTTAATGACATGAACATTTCACTTTCTCTGAACCAGTTTTTCTTAAAATAATAAATTGTTTGTGAATTTTTTGTTGCTTTTTTTTTTGTAACATCTATATCTTCATTTATCTATAATAAAATATTTTTTTTTGTTCAGCCATTATGTCATATAAGAGTGTCAACTTTATTTTTTTTAATGTTAACATACTATACTTATACTTAAATGACTTATAAAATAGAAAATTATGTAATTAAAAAAATGATTAATCGATAACAACATTTGGACTAGTATTTCAGAAGTTATTAACATTTTTATAACTAAGAGGAAGAAGAGAGACCAAAGAATAGCCTTCACCTCACATCCAATTAATATTTTTAATTATAAATAACTTCTAGAATACTGGTCCAAAATTTGTTATCAACTAAGCTAGTTTAATAAGTAAGCGCAAAAAAAAAAAAATTCGCAAAAAATTATTATTTTAAGAGATATTAAAAGGCTAGTGTTAAAATAATCACTCTATAAATAAATAACTTTTTATAAAATGCATATTAAAAGAAAAATAATTATCTTAAATTTGACTAATAAAAATTTCATTTTTGAAAAAATTATAGTAAAATGAAAAATTTTGCAAATTTTTACCTTTAGGAATAATTTTTTCTTACAGTTGGTATGATATGTATATGATTCACAAAAATAAATCAAATTTAACCTATATATTTTTATGAAGAAATCCCTATCAATATACTGATTTTATTGATAAAATTTAGCCATCATTAAAGACTTTGTAGTATTATATATTAATAATATTGTTATATAAAAAAATCAAATAGAAATTTATTTAATTGTATTATGTTTTCTTTGATTATTATTTTTTTTCAATTAAATAAAATCTATTATGAAATGTTTAAACTATACTGCTTATCGCCGTATATTGTTTATTTAATAATATATAAATATAAATAATATTTACTTTTCTTATTGAGAAAAATATTTCTCTTCAAAAGTTTAAAAATTATTAACTATTATGATGTTTTATAATTTATTTAGGTAGTTAATGTATATCATTCATACAATAACTTTATATTTAATTTACCTAGATTAATATGTACATTTAGTTTTTAGTTTTTTTCTTTGTAGTGAAAAATTAATTTTCTGATTCATCACTTTAATCATAAAAGTAATCTTATATACTTGGAATGAAAAATATAAACGCTTATAAAGTCAAATAACTTTTAAAATGATTTAAAATGATTTTTATTTTTATATTCTTTTTTTTAATTTTCTTAAATTGTAATTGTTTTAAAAATAAAAATTTTGTCATGTACATTTTATTTATTTCTTCTTTAAAGTTATTGGGATGTGTAAGTAATTTATCGTTTTGATCGCATTGGTCAATTTTATGCCAACAAAAAATCTGTCATTAATCTTTAATAGTATTGTTATATAAGTTACTTAAAGATGAATCAAAAAATGAATCATCAACGTACCTAAGAATTTTCAAATAATCAGTAATCTTTTGCATTAATTTTTTTTTCGATGTTTTCAATTTTAAATGCAAATTCTTAAACGTAACATTTAATTGAACCTTTTTATGACAGTGTTGTTTATTAAATATATTCCTCTATACACTTCAAGAGTGTAATTTTAATTATGACCTTTTTTTATCATAGTTTAACAATGATCTGTCATGCTATAAATTAAAATTATATAACCAAGTAATTCATAAATGTACTTTCATAAATAAACAAATATATTTATATAATTTATAATAGTCAATTTTTTATTATTGCTACTATACCCAGTTCTTTTCATTCTAAATTTTTATATTTTTGTCCACAGTTTTTTTTTTTAGGATGTAAATTGAATGAAAGTGGTTAGTGGTTATGACAGTCGGAAGAGAGGCGGGAAGTGCCGTTGCGTCCCATAAAATTTTTCATATCACAAAAAAACCAGTGGATATTATACAATCCAAGCTACTAAATTTATTAATATACATTTGATTTATCAATATAAAAAGTTTGTGCAGCAATGATTACTAACAAAATTGTAAAAAGCAGATGTATTTTTTAGAAGAAGGTAGGTCAGCTTTACTGATTTACAAGGAAAGTAAAATATATTGACCGTTTATTTATAAACTTATTTCAAATAATTAATGATATAGTTCCTAAAGTTTTATTATTAAAACTTTAATATTAGATATAATGTAATAGGTACATCGATTTATATTATGTCCTATTTGAAAAAGTGTATCAGGCGTATAATAAAATTTTATTCGAAAAGCTAAAGGAATTATTATTATTTTGGTGACTTTTTTATTCAAAATCCTTCATAAAGTAACATTATCTAAAAAAAAATAAGGTCATCATAGTAATTTCAAGAGAGTTCACACTTCTCTAGCTTTTCCCATAAATATGCTCCTGGAGTTTAAGAAAAGTGCCTGAGACTTATGCTGTCGTCAGAAATTTTGAAACCCTGGGAATCCTTCTGATAGAATCCCTAGTTAGTGGTATCACAAATAAAGCAAAAATTTGTGTCATGTTTTCGAGTTGATAACTTGATAATTTAATAAGAATATTTCAAGAAAAGTACGTAGAAAAATTAACTAAGTTATATGAAAAATTAAGATAATTATAATAATTCATATAATATTTGTTTGATAATAAAATTCTTGGTTTTTCACAAATTAAATTAAAACTGTGATATCATACAAAGAAATATATTATAATGCAACTATCTTTTCATAAGTCATATTTTGATAAATAATAATTTGTAAACAAAAATTAATCAAATCAAAGTCGTTTTATAGATAAGTTTATTTTAAAGAGTAAATTATTGTTAACAATTTAAGTATTTATTTTTTAAAATAGTTTATTAATAATTTTAATAAATAATAATTATCAACATTATTATTATTTACTATTAAATATTTCAATGAGTAATAACGTTTATAAGTTTTTATTTATATTTTTTAAGTATAGTATAATTCTAGGTTTGGAAGAAATCGTAAGTAAATAATTTATGACACCGACCATTAATTTATCACCTCATTATTATATCATTTAAGGTAGATGAATTTTTTAAGTGAATATAAAATATTAATAGTTAATGTGTATTATAACTTGAATAGATTACATTAATTTTATTAATTTAACGCATCAGGCGTTAAGGTACAAAAAAAAAAGTTTTCATATTTTATTTTACTTATTTTTTACTATTATACTCATGTAAATTGCTGAATTTATCAATTTTATCAACATCCAAAATTAAATGTATTTTCCGTATTGCCCTTTTTACCTTAAAAAAATATTTTCAAAAAAAGGATAATTTTTGAAAATCTATACAATTTTTTTTTATGTAAAAATTTTGTAAAATTTATAAAAAAAAAATAACATGAACACATATTTTTACTAAAAATTGTATTATATTATATTTTTTATCTTAAATAATATTAACCACAAGTTATCAATTCTTGCTATACGTATTTTTATGTCATTATACCAAAAGAATCATTTATAACAAAAATGTTAAAAATATTACTTAAATAAATACATTTAAAGTCAGCAAACTTAATTTTCAGTTAATGTTAAATTCAATTAAAACTGACTCTTAATTATTATGTATTATTTTGAGATACGCATCAGGGTACCAACTAAAATTAAAATAGTGGGCTCATGCAATAAAGAAAGAAGAAGTAAAACGAACTTAAAAAACTTTACTTTATTATTTTCAATAGTATTTAATTAATTAAAAATCTGTAAAAGGAATTTTTTAATGAAACCAAAACTTTCTAAAGCACAAAACTTCAAAAGGCGTGTAACTACCAATTGTCTCTTTCAATTATTATCAGCACTGATTGTTTTTATCAAACAATAATTCTTAAGAAAATTTTAAAACTTAAATTAAAAAAGGTAAATCAATTTGTAATATCATTAAAAAAATAATCAACAAAAATTCTCTTCTCATACAAACTGATTTTTAATGCACATCTATACTAATAGCGTATCGTACTTTTATCCCTATAGTATCCGTATTACTTTGGAAATCAATTAATTATTTCATTGATTTTCTTAAATAATAAAAATAATTGAGTTCTTTTATTTTCAAAATCTATATTGTTTAAGTTATTTTATTGTTTGAGTAGTTTTTACGATACACTAATTTTAAAAGTTTGCCACAAAAGTTGTTTCTTTGACATTGATGCAAATATACTAAAAAACACTGATTACTTTACAAAGTTCCTAAAATCAATGTTACTAGCACTTCAGTAAACATTACAGAATATTTCAAATGTGAGAATCGTATGGTCCGTCAGTAATCGTCTACAGGACACTATATGGTACCTTTGGGATACTATTCTTTAAGCAAATACAAACAAATATATCTTTAAGTTTCACGTTTTCGATTTCTATGCGATAGTATTATCAAGTGCAATATTCAAGTGTCGTTTACTAGATATGTAAGTAAATTTTCTTTAAATTATACGAAAATAAATATTGAAAAAATACAAATGTTCAGTCTAGTCTTATGATAATTTTCAATGCTATTATTTTATTTAATTACAATTGAATTTTTAGTTACATACTTGAAATTTAACATAATATGTAACTGTTTTAATTTTAAATAATATTAGTCACAATTGATCAATTTTATTATGTTATAATTAATAATTTATTACCTATTAATTTACTTGATGATCACATTAAATTTTTAGTCATTCAATTAACTGTAAACAATTTAATGGATTTTTCAGTGAGATAGAAGTTAATGGTATAGAAACATATATTACTATATACCATTAATGTGATATTCTATACCCAATTTTAGAAACTATTAAAAAGTTCACTTTGATGTAACCTTTGACAAAATTGTGAAGAGGCGTATGTGCATTGGAGATATATTTTATTACATATATATTTATAAATACTAAATTTCTTTACTGTAAACTTTTTTTTAACAATTTTATATTAACACCATATATTTGGGTCATCGCTAATTTTATTTAACAGCTCAAATTTCATGGGAAAATATTTGAATAAGTTAAAGTTTGATAAAATAAAAATAACTTTACATTGTTTTTTTTTCAAATGTAAATAAATATTCAAAAATTCGTAACAATAATTGACTTTGTTTAATTTGTTGTTTTTAAATTTGGTATTTGTCAAATATAAATTATACTTGCCTTTGTTCATAAAAATGTTACATTTAAATTACAAAAATTAATCTTATATAAATAAAGTAGAATCCATGTAATGCAATCAGAGTGTAAAATGAATAAGAAATTGAAATATTAATTCCTTAGCTTTAGTATTTTGAATATATAAAAATAAATTAATTTGTGAAATGTAGATGATGAACGCAATAACACCAACCACGGTCAATAATATTAAGTCGTATAATTTGTTTTTAATTCATAGGCTTTACCATAAAAACACAATGGCATAGCGTCAAAGCAAATAAATGATCAATAATTCGTTAGCGAAAGCAATACCCAAAGTATTAATTGTTTTTCTTTAAAACAAAGTTACATCGACCGAGTTGATAATTGATAACATCAATTTGTCTATATTTTATTAGACAGTTTTGTCGGAAAGTGTATCAAATAACAAAGCTGATGCTCGGAAAATATTTCAGGGTATTAAATAACGATATATACATTTATTATAACATATTTCAAACAGTTAAGGCATTAGCAATACGAGTACTCGGTTTAGGTAGTAAAAGTTTGTTTTATCATGTATTTTTATTAACCACATAATATATAACAAATATTCAGATTTGAGCGGCTATAACTTTTTTTACCACCACGAAAATAAAATTTCAAGAATTGATTAAATTCAGTATGCTGTACAAAAAAAACTAAATGCAAATCTATAGAGTTATGAAAATTCTATAGCGTTCCAGTAAAAGTGGATAAATGTAAAATTATAACTTTTGGAAAAATGTAATTGAACGTTACAAGAAATATAATTTTTGTTTTGAAACACAAAACATTATTTTGTATTTGTTTTGACGTGTGAAAATTGGGATTAAACGTAAACTGTAAGCTTGATTTTCATTTTTCAAAAGTTATAATTTTACACTTACTCCCTTTTGCCCGAACACTACAGAGCTATAAGATAACTTCGCAGCAAGTGTTTCAGCGTGTGAATATGTTAAAAATGTTATAATTCAAAAGTGAATAGCAGATTTGTATTTATCAAGTGTGAAACAATTTTTTTTTTTCTTAGAACCTTCAACTTTTAGTGTCACCCTCTACCCTCGTTCACGAGCCGTTATTAAACTGATTAAACGAGGCGTTGACCGCTAAAATCAGTCATCTATTCATTTGACCATGACGTTGTTATTGTAATTATGAAGGATAAATATTGACATGGGTATCACATCTACCCGTCTTGCCTGTAGTCGTTATATTCCAGTCACAGACTCGTCAAAAGGAAAATAGAACAACACCTCGACATGACACGTGATTATCGTCAGAGATTTTCCACGCCAACAGGTGGCCCGTAGACATAATTGCGACGTGGTCGACCCTTTATGGTTATGCGTACGTTCCATTTATTCACATGTGCTTATGATGAATTTTGACGTGTAATATCTCATAGGAAAACACAAAACGAATTTCGAAACAGGTAACTGCGTCCTACCTTAACTACCTCGTTGGACTTATTTTAATGCAACTCGTTTTTTCAGAACGGTATTGTGTTGACTAACGTCACAGGGAGAGCCTCAAGCCCTAGTGAAAAACGTCCCAAGACATTGTTGATGTCATAATAGAAGTTCAAATTGAATTACTTTTTGTATAAGTATCAACCGGGTCAAGAGTAGTCACGTATTACATTTTATTCGAGTGTTCTTAACAATAGTTTTGTTCTATGTATTTATAGCCCAAACTAAATATAGCTGCTAAACTAAATTATTGACATTCAATATTCACTGAAAGCTTAGATTTTGTAAGGTGTAGTTTGTTAGTCTCGAGTTTGTAGTATTTGAAATACAAATAGCTACAAAACCACAGGAATATAATAATATACAGTTACTTGTCTAACACGTTGAATATTAGCTTTTATAAAATGAACAGTTTGATTTTTAGAAACTAAATTAAAAATGAATTTATTATTTTTCCCATATCCCCTACCCACTCCGTTTTCCTTGCTATAACTACTACTATTTCAGCTTTAATGACGCCGTTTCTATTAAAATACCACGAATATACAAATGCACCATACTAGTACTAAAATACTTCTTTAAATATAGCCCCGTGAGACATTTATACATTTTATCCAAAATAAAAATTTTAAATAATGAACATTTTTAAGCATGTTTATTATTCTTAATTTTATTTGCTATCTCATTTTAAAGTTGTAGCACCACGGAAATTTTATTCTTTAATATCAGATCAAATCTTAAATACCTCAATTGTTGTTCTACATTCTGCCAGACTCGAAATGAGCACATTTTTCAATAACTAATACTGGTGCAAAATACCACTATTGAAGGTCACACCATGGGTCGCAAAAGTCTAGACATAAAGTCTAAAACATAACTCATTCATTTCGAATAAATTTTCAAAAATAACATTTTATATAATAGCTAAGAACCATTATCGTAGAGTTTACAGTTGATATAGTTAATTTTTATACTAAAAAATATTGATTTTTTTACAGCTATTGCATTGACTTGTTTTCGAAAAATGATAATTCATTCCAGTTATTTTTAACTACTTTATATCCTACGTAAATCTTCGAGTTGTGTTATCTAAGAAACTTTTAGGTATCAAACTTTCTGCGGTTTCTTCATTTTCAGAACATGTATCACATATTAGTTAAAATATTTACAGATATATTCACGTCTTCAGTTTTGTGCTGACAATCCGAAATTGTTGCAAAGTTTATCTTTAGACCGATAGTTACAAGTCAAGGTTGTAACTATACTGTCGGTCAAACTTGTTTTTTGTTTGTTTTTATATCGATAATCGGTTGATAACGTCAAAATTATTTTTTTTCTATATTATTATCGCGTAATTGTCGATAATGATTATCTGCTTGTTTCTTTTTCTGTTTACTTATTGTAGTTATAGACAATCTTAACATTTTCATACCTAAGCGGGTCGATGAGTGAGGTCAGGAAATATCTAGTGATAAAAATGGCAGCGTCCACTTCTCACCTCTAGCCAATACTTTAAATTGTTAATCAACTATATTAAACAACTAATTGTTGTTATCGACCAGTCATTTTCTTAATATATAATTTCCCATTTATTAGGCTAGTTAAATACGTATGTTGCCAATAAAAAAATAAAATTGATACTCTCATAGTGCATAAGGGATGAATTATAGAAATTACTGATTGATAACAACTTTTGTACCAGTATTTCAGAAGTGATCAACAATTTAAACTATCGTCTAAAGGTGAGGAGTGGGTACTGCTGTTTTTATAATTAGATATTTCCTGGCCGCACTCCTCTACCCGCTTAGGTATAATAATGTAATGCATATACGTTATTATTTAATAATTTATAATAAAGATATTGTACAGCTGATATTTTAATGTGCACTATATGTCTTCGTGGGCGTTAATGGATTAGATTACATGGGTATAAAAAAATAAATTCCTCAAGGAACTAATGGTTAAAGTATCCTACAATACGTAAACAATTTTAACGTTTTATCCAGCCATATAAACAATAGTGCAAATAGAGTGCACGGAACTGTAAGTGCAATTAATATAATTACAGCCTGACCGTGAAATCGGACTCGAGAGCTTATGAAAATCACTGAAATGATCTCAGCGGGTACTTAAGTTATTAAAAACCGTTTACTCAGTATATATATATATATAACAACCCTTGGACGGTTGTAAGGAAACCATACGCGTGTGCTACCGGAAAATGAAGTCTCCGCTTTTGTATATTTTGAGTTTGTATGGTCTACTGCGTATAGCAATTCCACGAACCCGGCTTGGGATCAATGGACGTTTCTTGTACATCGTAGATGCCCTGCTGTCAAACCGACCTGCTCACAGCACAGTGTAAAGGAGTAAGTATAATAATGACTTTTTGTCGCTCCCACTGCCTTCTCGCTTCTGACACTAAACATTTTGAATTGAAAACACACGACAATTAAAAAATGTTTACGGTGACGTTAGTTTTTAAGTTGGGTTATCTTTTATTATATCAATGTTCTTGTGTCCTAGTGTGTATGTAAGTATATACCACCACTCAACCAATCGATATTTGCAGTTAAATTGTTTGAATTGAATTAAAGTGGCATTTTATTAACACTTTTTATTTTTAATGGTAAATGACACTTACAATTTTAGAGGTATTAGATTTAATAACTTCGATCAGACTACCTGCTGATCAATTTTAGGAGATTTTCACCATATGCACTAAGTTCAATTCAAATTATATCTACACGACATAATATCATTTTACTGCCTCGTATCATTTTAACATTATTTTACTTCCATGTTTAATTTTCCTAAAAAAATATTAATTTATTTTAATGTTTTAAATTGTCAATAATACATACATCTGTGTTATAAATATATGTTTTAAACCAAATTGTTTTTCACGACGTTCGCGTCTCTCTTCTCTGTTTATCTATTAAAACAAATAATTAATTTTATATACTAAAATAATGTATTATAATTGATACAAATTTATTAATTTATTTATTTAGTAATTTCTCATTTCCTACATTAAGATTTTTGTTTTTGGTGAAATGTTAAATACATAATTATTCAACCGGCTATACATTTGTATTACGTCAATAAGATAGAATATTGTATCTGTTGCGATTATATCCAATAGAATCGCCCTTTTGTAATATAGTAGTAAGATCATTACAAAGTATAGATGTAAAGGTGATATTACTAAGTTTTAAAATTGGATGAAATACTTTACAATGACAAAGCATTTCTTTAGTCAGGTAAATAAATTACTTTGTATTTGCTGATAAAAAACTAACCAACTAGCCGTTATTAGGTCTTATGAATATCCTGGGGCTGGATAATCGAACTTCACAACTTTACTCCGTTCTTGTTGGTATTGGTAGTAACAAAGGAATGTCTTTTTCTTGCACTAGAACTACTTTTTTGAGAACAAAGCCCGGGAAAAGTAGTTGAGTGTTCAAATTTTTTTGAGCTCCAAAACAGTAAGCTGATTGTTACTTAAAAAAAATCTATATACGGAGTATACAAAATTTTGTTGTCACTCTTAATACCATATTTAGCCTATTTGTTCAGTATTATGAATAACTTCTATCAGATATATGTAATCAGATATTAAAAGATAGTATTATTATCTTATTAGTAATTTAACATGATAAAATAAATCAACAATTTGACAGTTTTATGTGATAATATTTCACAATTTTTTACTAAAAAGACATTATTAGCTTTAATAATGATTTCGATTTACCTAGTAAAAAAAATATCAACAAAAATAAACTTATTTATATACATATATATATATATATGTTATATTGTATGTATTTAAAATAATTTTAATTGATTCGATTAAACTCCACAACAAAACTACCTTGGGGCATGACTATTTCTAGAAATACTAATTTAAGTTTAGAACAAAAGAAAAAGATGATATTAATTGAACTTTTCGTTACATGAGTTTTTAGGCCAAACTTAATTTCATTGATGGATAGTTAATTTACTTTACAATTTTTGGTTCAACTACTTTAGATTCAATAGCTTACGCATGAAGTATCTAAAATTATCGATGAATAATAAAAACGAATGTTGAGTATTATCCATTAAGTTTTTTTATGATCAGATAAAGCCCGTCATAGTTAAACCGAAATATTAACTCAAATTACTAACAAAGTGTTAATTAGTAAAAAAAACTTTTTAAAAATCCTCGTAGCCAAAATATAAAATTAAGGGACCCTCATCCAGGTACTCCCTTTTTTTGAGGTTTTGAGCTAACATAAAAAAAAACATATTCATTTATGCCTGATTTTAGGAAATATTCTTTATACATAGGAATTTTACTTTTACAAGTAAAAATGTGTTATTTTATACATAATAATTTACCTTAGTGTAAAACATTATACACAATTTTTTTAGACTTTCATTAAAAAAAAAACTAATACTGTCAGGAACCGGCATAGTGAGTCCCCGCGCAAGTTAGACTTTAGTATAGATTTAACACTAAAAATTAATAACATCACTATCATAAATTGTGATTATTCAATGTACACAAAATATATTTAAACAAAAATTATAAATATAAAATTATATCAATGGAAAATTAAAAAATTTTTACTGTGACTACAAATTATTTAATTATACAAAACGACAATAAATGTTCCTTTTTTTAATTTTGATTTATTTAAAAAGCTTTATATAATGAGAATTGATGATCTATGGCCAATACTATTTAAAATTTTAAATATTAATTTAAAACTTAAAATTTTTTATTGTGACTTTTTGAGTTTTTAATTAATATTGAAAATATATTTTTGATTTTAAATAAAAAACTTTAATTTCATATAGATTTTAATTAGTCAGACGTACTAGAGGAACATTTTGAAAATTTGAAAACCAAACATCTTTTTGTGAACTGATTTATATATTTAAACAATAGTTAGAATTTTTTTTATATATTATAGTTAACTTTGGAAGCTTAAATTTGATATAACTTTAAAGGACGCAGTGCTTTAAAAATTGAAAAGAAAATTTTATGTAAAAGTATGCACATTTTTTTTTTTTATAAAAAAAATACAAATTATATATTAATAGTGAGATTAATCTAACTATTATTAGTTATAATTTTAACTCTATTTAATGAGTAATGAACTGAAATAAAATGATAATAGACTTGGCACTAGAGGCTATAACTCTAGCACCAACCCATAGTGTTTCTTGTATAGTTTATAAACTTATAGAAATAAATAAAAAATATATACTTTTCTCTTTTATATCGTCATATAATTTTTCTATTAAATTCCATTAATCTTTAATTATTAATTTATCTTCGATGTGTTGCTGAAACGTTCTATCTACTTCTATGTATAATCCACCTCTTAAGTAAACTTAAGATTATTTATAAATGATCTGGTAATTTTTTGTGAATATCATAACTTTACATATATATAATACATACTCCATCAATGTTGCATACCTACTCTATGCATTAAAATATTTATAACTCAATAAATAATTGTCTTAAAGTTTTATTGACCCATCGAAATTATTTGTAAAGGCTTTAAAATGGCTATTTTAATTTTTAAGCCCTCAATCTATGATTAATGATTTTGAAAAAAAATTGAGTAATGTAAATGTCAGAAGTATAATCAATACAAATTTCACAATAATTTGTTGTTTTCGAAAATTTATTTCAATATAAAGTGAAAACTAAAAATATTAACTTTATTGACTGTTTTATTACAATTGTAATTTTTTGGGATATTTATTTATTTATAACAGAGATTGAAAGGAGAATTTCACAAAATAATGCCGCTCTAAAAGCTTTAATAATATGTTATATGATCTTTTAATATATTTTATGTATCTTTGAGTGAAATTGATCCAGCAAGAGAGGAGTAATCATATGTACTGTTAAAAAAACATAGGATACAATTAATAGCTTCTTAGCTACACACCAAAGATAGCAATAATTCAATATAATACAAGCTGATACACATACTGACAATTATTCTAAAAGATAAAATACTTTCATATATTATTCAGAAAATAAAGAAAACAAAATCCTTATATGTTTATAAAACATTTAATTTACTTGATATAAATAATTTAATCTAGGATGTTCAATCAATAGCAAAAATAAATTTAAGAATGTAACAATTTAGAAATATATTTTATACAAATTTAAGTATTATAAAAACTATTCAGGCTTACACAAATTCTCTAGCACATCATTTATTTTGATCTTAAAAGCTTCAAATGAAAATTTATCATCAAATCTTTTTTTACCATTTTTCCCGAATTGCTCAGCTTTATCGTCCAGCTCTACAAGCTGTTTAATAGCCTCAGCAAACTCTTCAGGAGTAGCATTTTTTAGGAAGCCATTGAAATTATTTTGAATCGTTTCTGTAGGTCCACCATTATTTACTGCTACAACTGGTTTACTACAATACATAGCTTCTAATGGAACAATACCAAAATGTTCATTGGAAGGAGTGTATATTAGGCAAGTACAATGTCTAAGAAGTGATATTTTTATTTCATCTGATGGTGATTTCAGTAATATAACTCTATTTTCAAGGTTTAAATCATGAGTAAGCTTTTTTAACTCTTCATAATATTCAATATTTTCTTGATTAATAGGATCATAACCACCTGCTAATATAAGTGTTATATTTTGGATATGTGATAAACGAGACATGGAATTTATTGCTAACTCTAAATTTTTTTTTCTTTCAAATCTATTGATTGAGAGGAGTATTTTATTATTGTTTTTTGACCCTACTATGTCTTTAATACTAATAGATACGCTGTGGTCAAAAAACTTAGTGTTAATTGATGGATAAATAACTTCAGGAAGTTTTTTTGAACTTTTAAATGTATTTTGAAAAACATTTTGGGTGAAATAACTATTAACTAATATAATATTTGCACAAGCTGTAGTTTTTTCTTCTAACCAATCTATTGGAATACGATATAAACGCTTAAAGATACTATCATGGGATGTCAATAACTGATCAGGATAATGACAGTAAAATATTACTTTACATGGCATCCATTGAATAATAGGAATACATGCAGATATCAAGTCAACAAAAACAACATCTGGTTGGATATCGCTAAAAAAAGTCAAATATATTGCAGCATAAATCATGCGCAAATAACTACATAATGCATAACACTTTCCTAACACAGTTCTTGGCAACCAGTCTCCAACAACTGTAACTGGTATTGTACCATCTCTAGTTTCTTCAAAGCAATGAGATATACTGTGATGATTCGTAATAAATTGAACACTATGACCTACATCCTTCATAGCTATTGCTGAATCTACTACTAATCTTTCAGCACCGCCAATACCCAAGTCTGGGTGCAGAAATACAATGTTTAACTTCATAATGAAATATAAATTCAGATTAAAAAAAAAACCAAATACACTTTTATAAATTTAATAAACTATATTTTAATAGTAATGAAAGTGTGTGCTCTCACTACAAAAAAAATAAAGAAATATTTCATTCATTTAAAAAATAATCATTTTGTAAAGCAGAATTATACAACTATTAAAACAATCTTATCAGTGTTTAAATTTGTTCAAAGATTAAAGATTTTACAACATAACCTAAAAAATAATTTTCACTATGGACAAGACAAACAATTGATATGAAGTAACCAACATTATCACGATTAAAACTTATTATCAAAAAAACAATAATTAACAAATATTATTTCTTGATTTCTTATTTTTGAATATTTTGAATATTTTGATTATAAGTTATCAACTAAGAAATTAATTTAGAATGTTTCTTTAAACTAATGACATTTGAATATTCAAGTAAGTAAACTTGTTAACACTATTGCGACGTATTTATAAAATCCAAGGACTATTTAATTTGACCTAAATAGTTTAAAGAAAATATGGGAAGTATTTTTAAATAATTTTTTTTAATTATTATTTTAGTTGATCTTAATTACTATGACTGAAGATTTATCACGTGATGAAGTGTCACGCCAACGACAAGAACGGTGGGAACGCCACATGCATGGCCTTTGCATACTTGATAATCATTTGAATGTTGAAATGGAATTAGCTTCACATCGATCAGCTGTGCTAAATCATTTAGTTGAACAAGCAAACAGGGTGAAAGACTTATGGCAAGAATTTCAGCGACAATCTGACAATGGGTGTGTCTTAGAAGATACTGCTGTACAAATGGCCATAGAACAACATGGCTTACAAAGTCATAATTTTCATCAACCTCAAAATAAAACAGTAATTCATCATTAATTCACGATATAAATAAAGAATTACGTACAATATTTTTTTTTTTTAGACTGAAACGCAATCTAATAATAAATTGCCTGATATCGATTGTGAAGACATATTCAATCAAGCAGTATCTGCTGCAATTATTTCTAACGGATTAATAACCTCACAAAACAATAGTTATTTATAGATTTTATTTTATAAATTTTAAAACAACACTTAAGTCCCAAATTGTATTATGATTTAATTAATTTTTTAATAGAATGCTAGATTTAGAACACAATAATAATTTCTATTTTTATTTCATAATAATAATAATACTTATAATAATATTGATTCTTTTTTATTTATAAATTTTATTTTCTACTTAAATTTTTTGCTTTATTATGTATACTTGAACATTTTTTTAAATTTATAAATGAAAATCATTTAGTGTTCAACATGGAAATTTTATATTTCAGCAATTTGTTTACATTATTTATAAACAAAATGATCAAACATTATTTTACCAACAAATATTTACCTACCCAAAAATAATATTAAATGAAAATGAACACTAATTTTTGTATATATATATATTTTTTTTATAATTACTCTTATAATTGTACTACGTTTATTTGTAAATCATATGGCTTTATTATTGGTTGTTCATGCATTCCTTTTGTAATATTTTTTTCTTTCAGCATTTTTTTGTGTTATATATTTATAATTTCTTGTGCTTCCTTTAAATAAAATTTTTAAATGTTGCTCCTGCCAATATAATAGTCAATTGTTTATTAGCAGTATAATTTGTTAACATAAAATAAATCCTATTAGTTAAATAAATTGTAAAATCAATATTGTTAGCTGATAAAAAAATACTAAAATATTATTGTTACTGTATTGATTTAGATTCTCAATATTTTTTTAAAAATGTATATAAAAATATGAGTATTATTGTTCAAATTAATTATAGTCTATAATTTATAACATACTTTTAAGTATTATTATTATTAAAAAAACGAACATATTGTATTCATTAATTTAAATATAAGACTTACATACTTATTACCCTAATTACAATAAATTTTATAATGAAATTTTAAGGCAACTAGTATATACTGTGTATACAAAAAAGTGTTTCGTTTTAAAGTAGTCTATCTTTTATATATCTGTAATGAATTTATGATTTTTTTCTTTTAACTTCTACATTAATTTTATTATTGTATTGTTTCTTACATTATTATTTACTTCTAATTTTTGTGCAATAAGCTTTTTTATATTTTTTACAATATTATAATGTATAAATTGTGGAAAATTAAGTATATTATCATTGTATTTAATCACATTTTATAGCTTAGAAAATGTGTTTGATTCGCAAGTTATTTATTTATCATAACCCATTCAATTACATGTAAAATAGATAATATTAGATATTAGAAAATAACTTTTTTTTTTTGTAATTACATATATTTATTTATCATTTATTAATTCGTTTTATTATAATCCCTTAAAACTGATAAGAGTGTTAACTTAAATTAATTTTTTAAATAAAGTATATAAGACATATAATTACATATGTATAATATACATGTTTAAATAGCTTATTAAATAGAAAATTACTGTGATAATTACTTATAATTACAATAGTTAGATTAAATCCATTTTAAAATGTAAAAAAATCAAAACATTATTTTTCAACATTGTATCTATTTTGCAAGTAATTAAGTTAGTGGGTTATGATAAACGAATAATTCTGTATGTGAAATTTAATACTACATAAAGATTTTTATTTAGTATAATTTAAAAACTATACATGTTGTTAAATATTCCTTTCCTTGTAATCTAAAGATTATTCTTTTCTTTCCGCATTGTAATTCAATCTTGAATTTTTTAGTTTGGAGTGGATTTTGGGTTCTATATAATACCTACTAAAGAAATACTTGATATCTTTCCAATACTTTGCACCAAAATATACCGTGACAGCGTAAACTTTTGCGGGGACCTTGACAAAATAAATAACTTATGCGGGACCTTTAGTAATATTAGAATTTCAAAGAAAATATAAAGAACATAAAATATATAAATCATAACTACCAATATTAGAGTAAAAAAATTATTTTTTATACTGTATGTTGACCATATTTGTAGGTATTGCATTTGAGTATTGAGATTCGCTTCTAAGAATTTGCAGAGGGCTATTGTCATTCAAAACTCTCCTTTAAATACGGCCCCACATATAAGGAACACTAAAAGAAAGTTAATTACGGTGTTTTAATAATTAATAAGTGACACTACCTATAATATTATTACTATCCAAAACTAAAAACATTTTGTAAAAGAAAAAGCTTAATTATTGCGTCCTAATAATCATTTCATTTTTCAAATATATGAAAACATTGTATTTAAAGAATTCAAAAAATATGATTTATTAAATTAACAAAATTACACAAGAAATACAAAATCATTTTTAACAATATAAAATACATCTAAGTAAAAAATTAATGTAATATTTTTATATGCAAATTATTTCGTAAAGAAAATCTTCATCCACAATTTTTAATAAAGAGAGACAATTGAAAATCATTACAATAAAATATTATTTTCAAATATATGAAATCTTCAACTATTGAACTTTTTGTAACTTAATTAATAATTATGACAATAAGTAAAAAATCAAGCCTAAAGAATTTATTTGTTCTATGATCATTTAATTACAACAAAAGCTAATTTTTAAAGTAATGTTCTTGTATAAAATGTATTTTTATATAATTCAATTGTCATTTTTCCCATTGAAAATTCAACAAAATAATTCCCGATACACTTTTAAAATTGAATATACCAGTGCTTAATCAAATCTAAATAAAACTTAAACACTGAATTTTATTTTATATTTTTATTTCTTAGAATATTGAAAATTAAAATGTATTTCCACCAATAAAACTAAATTTTGTCAATTTAACTTAATAACATAATACATTAAGTTAATTAAAATGAATTATGTTGAAAATAATTAACTGTTGTGTTGTTTATAATTGTATAATTCAACATTCGATGCTGATAATTACATGGTAAAATTGGATAGAAATAATTACTGTTGCCTGAAAAACGAGATATGTTTTTTTTTCCATTATTCAATTAAACTGTCTATAATTAAATGTAATTCAGTGCACCTTATAATACGTATCATACGTGCAATATCATGTTGTACCTATAAATAAAGACAAATTAGGTACTCGTATCTTTTTAATTTCAATTAAAAACTCGATCGAGTAAAATACAAACCAAGCCAATTGGCTAACTGCTAATTAAAACTAATTGAATTTAAAAGTGTATTGTTTGTTCGATAACTTATATCTAGCGTTTACAATTGACACTTACTTATCTGTTTTATAAAATTAAAATTGATTTTCGATTAACTAAATTATAATTTGAAAAATTTTAAATGTAAAACACTTAGAATAAAAAAAATACATTTTATATAAATTCTAAATTAAATCGTTTAGTAACTGGAAATTTTTCTTACAAACTAATTATCTTGAATTCTAGGATGTGCAAAAAATCTTATTTTTTAAAAATACGCTTTAAAATATCCTTTAAAAATATATAAGCAATAATGTTAGTTGTGTGTTTAATTGTTGCGGTAAAATTAATTAAATGAGTTATCTCAATATTTTTTACAAAATTTTCTTTCGATTAAAAGTGAATTTCAATATATTTATCAAACAGAGTTTGGTAAATACAGTAAACAAAGTTAATTTAAAATTGTCTGATAAACTGTTATTTATCTGAAAATAAAATATTGTGATTTTGCCAGTAAATCTGAAGTTACGTCAAACACTGTGGTGTCCATAAACAAGTTATGGAATTCATACAATCGGTAGACCCATCACTTTAGTATTCATCACCTTCGTCGCCACCATCGGCTGAATCAGTGGCTACTTCCTCGTAGTCTTTTTCCAGAGCAGCCAAGTCCTCGCGGGCCTCACTAAACTCACCCTCTTCCATACCTTCTCCGACATACCAATGAACGAACGCTCGTTTAGCGTACATGAGATCGAACTTGTGGTCGAGACGGGCCCATGCCTCAGCTATGGCCGTTGTATTAGACAACATGCACACTGCACGTTGAACTTTGGCCAAGTCACCGCCAGGCACCACTGTGGGCGGCTGATAATTGATACCTACTTTAAACCCAGTTGGACACCAGTCCACAAATTGTATGGTCCGTTTGGTCTTTATCGTGGCGATGGCCGCATTTACGTCTTTGGGTACCACGTCGCCTCTGTACAACATGCAGCATGCCATATACTTGCCGTGTCTGGGATCGCACTTCACCATTTGATTGGCCGGTTCAAAACACGCATTGGTGATTTCAGCTACAGTCATTTGCTCGTGATAAGCCTTCTCGGCGGATATCACAGGCGCATACGTAGCCAAAGGGAAGTGGATTCGTGGGTACGGAACCAAGTTGGTCTGTAAAAAATAACTTTTAAGTATAAATACGGTCGTGTATTCAAATGACCGCTAAAAAACATTTTAGTTCAATAAATTAACATTGTGAAATCTTGTTAATATTTCATAAGATAGAAAACGGCTTTATAATATAAATGGAAAGCGTCGTAATACGAATCAAGCCATTGTTTCGAGCATTAAGAGATCTGATAGATATTATTGCTTATTATTTAAAAATTAAATCACATCATTGTTTTGGCAAAATGTTTCAATACAGTAAAATTACTGATTGTAAGAGTTATTTTATACTTTTACTAAGAGGAATCGCAGAGAAAATTATAACTGTCCGATTATACAAAGTGTTACGTTAATTAATGGCACTGGTGTTTAAATACCTGAAATTCTGTGAGATCCACATTGAGGGCGCCGTCAAATCTCAACGACGCAGTGATAGAAGAAACGATTTGACCGATAAGTCGATTGAGATTCGTGTAAGTGGGTCTCTCGATGTCTAAGTTTCTACGGCATATGTCATAGATAGCTTCATTATCTACCATGAAAGAACAATCGGAATGTTCTAGGGTGGTGTGCGTGGTGAGTATAGAGTTATACGGTTCCACTACGGCAGTAGACACTTGAGGCGCTGGGTAAATAGAGAACTCCAACTTGCTCTTTTTGCCATAATCCACACTGAGCCGCTCCATTAGCAATGACGTAAACCCGGAACCGGTGCCTCCCCCGAATGAGTGAAACACTAGAAAACCTTGCAAGCCAGTGCACTGATCGGCTAATTTGCGGATTCGGTCCAACACGATGTCCACTATTTCTTTGCCAATAGTGTAGTGACCTCTGGCATAGTTGTTGGCCGCGTCCTCTTTGCCGGTGATCAGCTGTTCTGGATGAAACAACTGCCTGTAAGTGCCAGTACGCACTTCGTCTATGAAAAAAAATGTAATTTCATCATTTTTTTTTTTCTTATCAGAATTCACAAAATATGAGATTAAACGTTAACATCTCTCTTAAATTTTATTGTTGAAACTTACCAACGACAGTTGGTTCCAAGTCAACAAACACAGCTCTTGGGACATGTTTCCCTGCTCCGGTTTCACTGAAAAAAGTATTAAAGCTGTCATCTCCACCTCCAATTGTCTTGTCAGAGGGCATTTGTCCATCTGGTTGGATTCCATGCTCTAAGCAATACAGTTCCCAGCAAGCATTGCCGATCTGTACACCGGCTTGTCCGATATGAACTGATATACATTCACGCTTAAATAAAATAAAACATGCAAAGAATAATACTTTTTTACATTATCACTGTCCATATTATCAACTATGAAATTGCACAAATAGGTGGATGAAAATGAGTTTTTTTTGTGGGGAAGAACTGTTATCACATAAATTTCTTGTTTTACCACTTACACTAAGATATTTTGTTTACAATACTAAGATAATATGTCTAATACTACGATAATAGTTTTATTTTAATAATTATACTGACACTTTCAAAGATAACAAAAATATCGTTTCAGAAAACAAATTTTAGTAAAACTTTTACGGTGAAATGGGGTAATTGTAAATTCATTTTTTCTCTTGGAATATTTTGCAGATTTTATTTTAGTTTTGGCCTTTACATATGTTGTTATCATATTAAATGCAAGTTCGAAATAATAACTTGCATTTATCTAAAAAAATACATTTTCAATTACTCTCCCTCACTATACGCCACTAAAAGTCGTAAACAAGTTTTTTATACTTCTATTAATTGATTCTATTTTGTATGAAAAAAATAGTTACTAACAAACTAAATAGAGCAAAAATATTTGACGAATTAAATTTTTGTACCGGACATCACAAAGGAATTTCCAGATTATGAGAAGTCATGGCCACCGGATCTGCTTTGTAAAAGCAAAAAATAAAAACCTAAAATTAAATAACGTCTATGATACAGTAGCCTGGATATCATTAGAAAAAATATAGGAGTTTCAAAAATATATTTAAAACAAATCACACATTACATATTTCAAAAACATAAATACAATTTATTATTTATATCATCAAAACCAACGAGCCATAAGATGACTTCTGGTAATTTTGAATCTTACTGAAAGAAAGCCAAAGTTATGGGACAAAGATGAGGAACATTTCGATGAATCCGAGAAAAAACCAGTGACCCGAGAAATGCTATGGCGACAAAAACATTAACGTAGACGATGAGATGACGAATTATTCTATAATAGATTCGGTTGTACCAAAGAAGAGGTTAGGCGAATAAAAACAACGGAAGCCAACGAATGGTAAGTGTTTACCGGACGGGAGCGGCACAGGCAAGTAAAAATTACTTACTAGTTGAAAAAAATAGAAATAGAAAACAATAAAGTAATAATATTAGTAATAGTTAATGGAAACAATTATTGTATTACTCGATAGGTTTATTTCGGTTCAACCGGACGAAAGGGTTGGGCATGATGTCCGTAATGCAGACGGATAATAGAACAAATATTTAAGACCGTAAAAAGAATTAGACGGACAAAACTACAATATATAACTACAATACGATATAAATTATACGCCTAAGTTTGTTTATTAATAGGTAAACATTGTGAGACATGAAATTAAACATATATATATATATATATTTATGTATTTTTACTTAATAGATGCCAATTATATGTCTAAATTTCTAAAAAAACTATAAGATTTTTTATGGCTACAAAACTAGTAACATTTTTTAAACACATAAGTGTATGCAACTCACGTTAAAAATACAAAATGAGAAGAAAAACAAAAATTTCAAAAATATCAGGATGTTTTTGTAGATAATCACAACCAAATACTTTTGAGTATTCAAAAGTGCATCTTTAACTACAATTTTTCTATTTCATTAATGAAAATATCGAAATTATTTAAAAAATATATTTGCGAAAAAGATCATGGTGATTAATTAGATTATATTAAAAGTTAACAAAATAATTTTATAAAATAAATTGAATAATTTTAACTTTAATTCGATGGGCGGTAAATATATACTATTTCTGTCATATGATTTAAAATCTAAAATAGAATTCATCACTGAATAATTAAAAATTGTGGACAGACATGTTTTGGCATACTTAGTTTATACGAACTCAAACATAGGTAATCTGATAAATTGACGATTAAAATATAATTAAATGATTTCAATTATCATAATTTATTCGTAATAAATAATGAAACTTGCAAATGGGTAATTTGCAAAATAAAATAGGTATCGTAATCCTCAACACAATGAAAATATGTACAAATATTGTTTAATTTATATTACAAATCGATTGTTAATTGCAATAAAAGAAATATTTCAATTATAGTTCTCACATATCTACTAAAAATACAAAATATTCATAAAACTCTTAGCTTTTAATTCAAAGATAAATTTTAACTTAATTAATTTTAAGTATAAATAAAAATCTATATAAAATAAATACGATTTTATTATATTTAAAAAGCAAACAAATTTTCGAATTTTATGAACATGATTGATTATAAGGAAAAAACTTTTGACACCTATCAATTTTTCAAACTTGTCAAAAGTTTGAACTATAATTCATTGTTAAAAACGTTTTTTATTCGATTCGTACAATGCTTTTAGAAAACAGTCTTTCTTTCATGCTTAAAATTATTTCTCTAATACCAAATTTATTTTTTATATCCAAAGAATTTTAAACTTTTTTTGAACTAATACATATGAAACATATAATTTTTTTTATCAGTCAAAACTATCGTGAATTGGTTTTCATGTTGTTACTTGCTGAAAATATACTCTATTTTTAGCATTTTAGTAAAATTAGAAAATTTAGTAGTATAATCAAATTTTTATGAAGAATTTTGTTCGAACCTATTAATATTAGAACTTAAATATGTGACTTACAAACGTTTAATGTTAAATATTTACATTATTCATATAAAATTACTAACTTATATCTTAACATTTCGTTTAATAGTGTAATTTAATTATGCACGTAAATGAATTTGAAAGGATAGAAATATTACCCCTTACCTTCCTCGTTTGTATGCGATTTTGGCAAATATTTGCATTTTTTTTAAACAATTAAATTTAAACAAGTATTACGATTAAAGTACTCTACTACATTTTTCATTACATCGCCCAGTTTAAAAATTTTGGATTTACTACTTAACTTAACTTACAAGCCGTAAGTTACTTTTTAGATGAAGATAATATTTTAAGTATTTTACATATTTATTTTCATGGGAAAAATTTACGGTGCACAATCACAGCTTTTGTTACACATTAATTTATCAAGCACCGTAATATTTTTGTGTAAACATCGTAACTATTATAAATAAAAAAGCAATGGATTATTCTTTGCAGCAAATATTGTTCCAATATTTCCCAACTAAATCGTAATCCATTTCCGAGAAAATTTACAAATTTCTAATTATTCTGTAATTAGAAAAATAAATATTAATTAGATTTGCAGCTATTAGTGAATAGATTTTTTACCCACTAACTTATAAAAATCTATACTAATACTAATACCCACAATACTATACTAATGTTTATTTTCGTTTCATAAACATTCAGAGAAACTCTCACCGATCTTTTAATAATATGTTTAATAACTCGGAACAATTCTATCAGTGAACTGTATCCAAGATGTGTTTTTCGAATCGACTGAACCACACTGTCCAATCAAAATCATATAATCTTTAAATTAGAGCTATTACTGTGGTACACATAGGCTGTACCTTTAAAGCTTAGCGTCTTAAAAATTTAACTATTGTACATTTACAGTAATATCACTCGACCTTCTATAACAACCACTCAGTGAACCATTACACTTTAATTTCCTCAATTAATTCTATGGTGATAAATAAGAACTAATTATAATAGTTGCTACCCAAATACAACGCAATGCTCAGCAACATTTTCCCAATTTGTCGAGTCCCAAACGAGCCTAAAATTTCAAGTGTGTTCATTTATTATTTAATTTTACTCAGTTTTTCACAAATAACTTTTATGGTGAAAATTGGACATTATTCATGTTAAGAAGACTGTTTAGAAATATTATGTTGAAAAATATCAATAACTCTTTGTTTAACTTGAAAGTTGAGAATTTTAATTATTTATTGTTAAGCTCAGAACAATATATATATATATATTAAATTTCACAATAATTGCTCAAAAATAGAGTAACTCCAACCAATCACATTTTACATTTCTACACTCTCATCAGCCTGTCTAATAGTTCCATTGCATGACGAAATTAAATGAAATGCGTTCACAAAAATATCAATAAACTTACACTCATCTACGAGGTTACATTTCTTCGTACAATGCCAAACCTAATTGTGTTGAAATAGATAAACTGTATGTACAAACTACATGCACAAAAACTCCTAGTCGCTCTGATTCAACTTAAGAAAATCTAAATGCTTTAATTATTTATAGCTGTTTTGATAACATTCGGTCCTAATTATAAATATATAGACTTCCGTTCATCAATTTTATTGTGTTATGATCTCATAATGTCCGTCTATATGTTCTGAGTAGCTTATTAAAAGGTAACGTCTGCACGCTTCATCATCACACGGAAAAAATAATATTTGAAGGAACATTAATTGTAGTTAGCATAGGATAGCAAATAATTACTAAATTATCCATTTGTTTTAATTTCAAAGTATAATGCAATATATATTTTTAACCAAAGTGAATGCATTTAACGTATAAAATAATCATTTTAATAAGTATTAATTACGTCCCAAAAAGTTATATAAAAAAACGTTAATAACAGCTATTTTTATCAAAATAATAAGAGTCATTTGACATAAAGAAATTTCGGCATAAATTATAACGTTTTAATATATTTTACTTGATTATTCTTAGTAATTTGATCAATAAGGGTCCAATTGAGAGTTCAACGGTAGAGTATCAAAAACTATATAAAATGTTTTACGATGAGCCCATTTCAAGAGTAAAAAATTTAAATATGATATCGTACCGTATTGTTAATATTGGCGTGTAACGTGTTCATATTTAATATTAAGTAGATTTTTTAGCATCTATTGACATTAAATAGACACGTCTAGTTCCCATGATATTTGTTGTGAAGCCTCTTGTGCAGACTCCTTTTTTCACCTTCGCAGTTTTATTATCTTCCTCGTGGTCAAGACAATACTGCGTGGAATGTGATACGATGACACGCGCTCAAAGTGTTCAGTTCAATTATTAACAATTTGTTACACACATAATTTAGTTTTGTCGAGTCAATCGAAATAGCGGACTGATACAATATTATAGCAAAATATTTTCCCGAAAATTACATTGGGCTTGAAAATATTTTCATTGCGGTTTTATAAACTGTTGTTCCACCGAATTGATTACTTATAAAATTTGTGAATAAAAAAAGTTGTCTTCGGCAAAAAAAAGTCAAAATTATCGAATCTATAATAGTAATCAATAGTTTATAATTAAAAGATGTTATTTTTCGAGAGGCTAAATTTTTTACCGTCTATCGCATTTTATCCGGCGAATCGATTAGAAACGGTCGTGGTAAAAAACCAACTGTCTTGGGAGGTGACATCTTTCCTGCGGAAAAGTGTCTCGAAATGTGACGAGAAAAGATACGCTAGGTAGAAGAAAACCATAGCTAATTCAGTTTGAACTAGTACCGGAACCGGTTCAAAAGGAAAAATGTTTTTTTTTTTTGTAAAATCGTGTCTCTTGACATTCAATGTATCCCATATGAACATAAAATAAAGTACTCACCATTTTAGTAGGATCTTTGGCGTGTCAAATATTAAATATAAGCCAAGAAATTTTAAGATTTGTCAAGATTCTTAAGTCTGTGGGTGTGTTAACGCGTACGGGTTATCCGGAATACTGAGACTAGTCGCTCGTAGTCCACCGATTCTTATACTGGTAATATTAGGTGCGCCTCCGCACGCATTAGGTACAACGTCTTGGTCGATTGCACCCGCGCAGCGCCTTCTATCTCGACATATCGTCAATCCCGAAATTCTCCTATACCAAAGCTTTGTTGTACCTCTCCAGAGCCGATAGCTCTTAAAAGGCGGTTGAGAGGAACATGAGGTTATTGTCGGAAATGAACTATGCGATCATTCAATATTATCCGATCACGCGATTTCTATTGAGTTATAATCTGTTTGATAGTGTTGTGTGAATACAAATTGCTGAAAAAGCAAAGAAATACAGAGTTTAAAATTGTTCCTGTCCTCACAAATTATGGAATTGCAAATTTGTTTACACTGTTATTTGAGAAGTCGGTTAAGGGAGTGGCCCGAGGGCCTATGACAGTAAACTAACATGACAGTTTTTATGTTTAACAATATTCCATTTAATTATGTAAAATCCGTTTGTAAACAGAAAGGACGTAGGACGCGAATTTGGCGCTTGCAAATATGAAAAGCTCCAAAAAAAANATATTCCATTTAATTATGTAAAATCCGTTTGTAAACAGAAAGGACGTAGGACGCGAATTTGGCGCTTGCAAATATGAAAAGCTGCAGAAAACNGCTTGCAAATATGAAAAGCTGCAAAAAACAGCTATAATGTGATTTATATTCATTTACGAGGCACCGAACGACTTCTAATCGATTAATGTATCCTGACATAAAATAATAATTGATATAATCTTGTATGTAAATTTATTCTAGTATTGTTTCGAAACGAATGATTATTATAAAATTATATATAAATATCGAAATACACAATTTTATAATTTAACTGAATACTAAGTTATGAAAATAATTTATTAATGGGTGCAGTCACACTGAAAATATAATTATTGGTCTACGATCTAGGAGTAATTTTATTGGATATTAAATAATCAATAAAACCTCTGTGCATCAAAATAAACCATTACTGTGTAAATTAATTGCTATGGTTAGTAAGCAGAATTATTATTCACGTTCACTAATTCATACAAACTAGGGCAATTATTTTTGGTGAACAAATTGAACTAATTTACCTTAAAACCAAATTTCCAAATGCTGTAGAGTTAAATATAAAGATTATCTACATAAATTACCGAAAATCTATCACCCCAACCGAAATGTATTTTTATATTGATGAGAGAGGAATGAAGCAATTTTTTCTTCAACAATAGACATTTTTTTCATTACTTTTTCTTTTTGTTAAAAAAGTGATTCCTTTTAAAAAATTTAAATGTTTTTTAAATGGAAAAAAATCGCTCTATTTTAATAACAAAAAAATCTTTAATCGGTAGACATATGTTTTCATGGGTGGAAATACTTTATATCTAAGATGTTATAAACTTAAAAATGATGATGCGTCTTCATTAGTTTCGATCAAAAGCTAAGGAAAGTATTGGTTATATCGTGATATGTATTTTTTATGCCTGTCCATGAAAATTCTCAATTCTCACTGGAAGGATTTTGTTGATCTATGAATCAGATGAATCCAATATTAATGTAATCGAGACCATCTTTACATTCAATTCAAATTTTTCCACCCGAAAAGAAAAAAAAATATTATATTTTTAAAGATATTGCGTGAGTCATGGATAAACAATCACTCTGTTTATTAAAAAAAATGTAATTTATAAGATATTGCACTTGTAATTATGCCACTGGTGCAGAGGAAAATTATTTTATAACGCAGCACTAGACTAGGTACCCATAACTTAAAAAAAGATCATAACTCTACACTTCTACAATGGCATATCTAAAAACCATTAAATAGTGAATATTATTAATTTACGAAGCAATAGTATTACATTTCCTATTGGCTGAAAATTCTGATGAAAATAACATACTCATCAAATTTTCTGGCCTGGTAAAGGAAAGAGTAATCTTTAAGTTAGTAAGAAAGCATTATATAATGGAAATTATACAAATGTAAGAAATAAATAGTTTACATGAAAAATCGAACTAACACAAATGATTCTATCCGTTCCTTGTACGGGCTCATTCAACCCTTAAATCGTGCTTAGGAATTTTGTATATACATAATGTACATGCGATGTAAAAAAAATAACAAGGAAAAAAATAAACGTAAGTTATAAAATAGAATGAAATAAAAATGACAATAGTACCTGCCACAGCTAAGAATAAGATATAATGAAATATCGGAGGTTAAACAAAGTGAGTCGCAAAAACTTTCTATTTATGTATAGAACGTCTTTTCATTTATGCTTAGAATTTTTAATTTCCTTTTTAATATAGTTAATAAAATTGTAACACCATTTAAATATTTGTAAAAATAATTATTATTATTAGTTTCCATGCAAATCTGAGAAGGTATTAATTTTAGTATGTGTTCTTCTAATTTTTTTTTTTTGGGAGAAATCTCCAAAATATTTCAAATTTAAAAATCACTTATTTTCAACATTTTTTCCATTTTTTTTACTTAAAACTGCCATAACTTTTTGAAAAATGTATAGATTAATACATTTTTTTTTAATAGATATATTAGGTATTTACCTATAATTTTGTATATTTTTTTTTATAAATCTGACTCTTTACCTGCCCATATATCTTTCTTTCATTCCACATGTTTTTTTATTAAATCATACCACTTCCCTTTATACAGGGGGTGTTCAAAACTTTAAATGAATATAGAAAAAAGAACTTTTTCAACTTAATTTGAATTCATTGAGATTTGAAATCGACGCAAAAATGGGTTCAGAAAAGTATATTTTGGTCTCTGATGAAAATTCCTTGTAGACTAGTAAATTTATTTATAAATAAATTTTTTTTTTTATGTTGCTTCAAGATCTTTATCTTTAATATACGTTTGCCATAAATGAAACAAAATATATTTCTTTATAACTTTTTAAAATGTCTCCATAAAAATTTCAATACTAAATTATTAAATATCAATTTCATATTATGTTGTATTGCTATAATAGATATTTATTCATATATTACACTTATAAATCATAAAACGTATAATCTCTGATACTTTTATATATACCTTAAATTAAAGCTTATATAATGTACTTTATTATGGAAAATAGTTTAGTTGTGTCTATGTAGAACACTATTTAAATACTTAAAATATAATAATAATGCAAATAGTACTTAGGCACTATAGGTAATTCTACACATATATTAAGAGCTACTAAGATCTGAACTTAATACAAAAAATGTAGAAGTACGTATATTAGTGAAGTAAAAAAAGGAATATCTTTTAAAAAATTTTTTTGGACAAACTTCAAAATGAAGTATATAAATGCAACTTCTACAGACTTGTAAATGACATTATTTATTTTTAATATTGAAAATGTACAGTGTAACATAAAATTAACTGTTGTTAGTTAATATAAAGTAATTTAACTGTTTTTAAATTACAAATTTAGATATATGAAACATTGACTATTCTTGATCTTCATCAAATAACTCAAAAAAGTTAAATACTTGACTAAAAATAAAATAGTTTGATAAAAACTACAAAACAATTAATGCAAATTTAGATCAGATTGACCGATAAATTTAAATATTAAGAAAAAAAGCTTTAATACAAAGGAATTACATAACATGCATTTTTATGCCCTAACCCCTTAAATATCCAAAATAAGATTTCTTAATTGCATTACAATTAACACAAAACAAATTTGGTCTAATCCATTTTAACATACAAAATAACAAACAAATATACAAATGCATTAAATTCACAACCTTAATTATAAGAAAATAAAATACATAAACCATAACAAACTAGTTTTAGAAACTCATATTATCAGAATAGAAAAATAAATTTCTAAAACTAAATTTTTTTTTAATCTCTTTTTTTGGAAGGTAAAGGAGTAACACAGACTCTTGGAAACCACCCTCGTTGTCGAGGTCCCTCAGAAAAATTTTTTTGTCCATACATCCAGTATCTAACAGAAAAAATCAAAATATAATCCAAATCACCTAGGTTTTCAATAATATTAAATCAAATACAAACTTCCTAAAACGTGTAACTTGTACAATATCATTTTTATTTAATGGAATACGTGCTTCATCAGTCCATGGTATCTGACAACAAGTACAAATGCCAAATACTAAAGGAAACCAACGACCATTGTATTCTCTAATTACCTTCATTGGTTGTTTCCACGACTCTTTTATTAATTTTTGATTTAATTGTTCAATCTAAATATTGTTTCAAAGTTTATTAGTACACATAATATTAACAAAAATTAATGATTTTTAAATTTTAGAATTTATATATAAGATATAGTAAACCTTTAAAAATCAACAGATTTTTCTCTTTTAAAACATAAAATTTTTTTCACAATTTTTAAATAGCAAATATATATTTATTTGACTTTTAACTTTGCACAGTTATAGTATTGTCACATGCAAATAATTTAGCAATTTTGACTTACTGTTAAATCATATTCACCACAACCATCACAAACAGGGTAATGAATACCATCTCCTTTAGCAAAAAACTGCAACAAAATAAGAGTATACATATTATATCCTATGTAATATCCTTTATTTATTTAGATAATATATATATATATTATATGCTATCACATAAAGAGCTCTATAGCTGGATGGCAGGCTGTGACACAGCTATATATTAACCAAGTAACTAGGTTGTTTAAATAAATACAATGGTCTACCACTTCCTAACTTATAACAGTCTTTTTTTACTTTTATTTATATACATGACTAATTATTATTATTATTACTGTTAACTGTAATATGTTGTAATATATTAACATATTCGTTAACTATAAACCCCATTGAGTATTTTTAGTTTATTTACTTAATACCTAAATTCCATCAAAATTTACATAAATTATGACATACATTTTTTATATTATTAATTCTTCCTAAATTATAAGGATAAACAAATGATGGTATGCTTGGATCTTGCTCACGTCTTGAGATGGCTTTACCAACAATCCAATCTTCTATATTAGTACAGTTTCTCAAAATGTACCTAACCTATAAAATATTCAATATTTATTAAATTAATGATTCCTAAAATTTACAACATAAGTTTTAACACCTTATTTTAAAATATACTTAGAATATTCAATAATTTAAAAATATTTAGCTCATTATTTAAAATATGATGACAAAAATTCAATTTGAAATTACTTACTTGTATAAATAATAACAGGCTAAGGGTCAAAATTAAACAGATATCTAACCCAAATGCTATAAGCCACAAGAGAACAAGTCTCACAGGAAAATACACAAGAACATAACGTCCAAACTGACTGCAAAAAATAAACTTTCTGTCGTTAAATTATTTGAAAAATGTCTGTGTTTTTTAAATAGCTAATTCAAATTATAAAATGACTTTCAATAAATAATTGTTATTGTAAATAGAAACACAATTGAAATGGTGTCAAGAAATGATATTATTATTGTAAACAAACAATATTCTAAAATCAATGGTTAAAATATGAAAAAAATCATTAACTGTCTATCCTTGCCAGTATTTTTTTTTACCTCCATGCTAATAAAAGTGTCTTAAACAACAACGTAGCTGATTGAATAGCGGCAACTATAGAAAAAAATATGAATGTTATAAAATATGGATAGTTTGCAAATCCTACACAAGTGTTCAACCATGGACAGTGATGATCCATTTTCAAAACACAACGATTACCTAAAACCAAAAAGTGATTGAATAACAAAATAATAATATAAGTATTTGTTAAACTTTGATAAATTACATTTATGGCAGTGATGTACTCTAGGAGCTTTAAATCCTTCACAAATTTTACAAAACTGTAAATACTCCTGATCTTCTTCATAATCCTTATAAAATATTTAGTATGAATTATTACAATGCATAAACTAAAAACTTTGATATAAATATTTAATATACTGGTTTCCATTTTAGTGGAAGAAATCCAGGACCAATGAACACAGACTTCAAGTAACAAGAGAAACTAATAAAAAATAAAGTTAATAAGAGAATTTGATTGAGAAATCCGCCCAATGAACCAAAAATGGGCCACCAAATTTCCGTAAAATACAGTGTTGTCAATGTTACAAGTTTATATATCACTAAAAATTGAAACAAAATTTTAATTACAATATTTCAATAAATTAAAATATGATTATAATTAAGATAATGTGAATACAAAAAATTACCAATAGACAATATTGGTCCCCAATGAATAAACCTTCTTAAGATGGAAGGTGAACGTTGCATTTCAAATAGTTTATTTTTAAACTACTTCATAAATTATAGATTAACATTAAATAAACTTACATACTAAATATTTACATTTTAACACCTATTTTTTTATTTTAAATATTCAATTTTTTTAATAAGAACCTTATCTATCGTTATCAGTAATATGATTAGTAAACAAGTAGTTATTTTAATATTTTAAAAATACTATAGTCACTTTTAATATAATATTATCACTTTTTTATAGATATATTAAGTTTACTTTACTCAATTTACTTTAGAACTTTCATTTGACCAACAAAATCTCCTCGTAGAATGAATATTTAAAAAATTGATTTAAATTTAAATTTAATCATGCATAATTTTTACATTATAAAAATGTTTTAGAACCATATATATCATGGTTTTAAAAAATCTACATTTATCTGACGAAATTTCAGTATAAATATATTTAATAAAAAGTATTCTATGGCGATAATATTAATATAAAAACTATATGACACAAATTATAATTTTAAAGTGCCACTTTTTTTTAACCCCAACGCCACGTCTAAAAAAATAAGACAATATTTATTGAAATACCTACAACAAACAACGCAAACTTATATGGTAATTAATTTAATCTAAAATACAAGAATATTATAATGGTTTTATGAAATTCACATATATAAATATTTGATTTCATATTTTTAACATATTAAATAAAACACTTCAACTAATTTTAAATCAGTCGACATTATGTCCTATAATAGTCATAGAAGAAAATGACATAATTTAAGTCCGAGCACTAAACTTAAATGTTTTAAAAAACATTTCAAAATATCATCAACAATTAACCTATAAAAATTAAAAAAAAATTAACGCTTTGAAACAAAAAAATAAATCTAAAAAAAACTCAATTAATTTATACACATTAATATGATTTGATTTAAAAAATATTATTTAATAAAAAGATTTTCATTTTAAAATTACTCAAAAATAGAAAATGCAGAATTCAAGTTTCATTTTTGAATACTCCATTTCATAAATCAAATTTCGAGCTGAAAAGTATCAAAAAGGAGATAAATTAAAAAATAATGCAGTATTTCACATTGCATGTTTGCTTTAAATTGCATGTTATGCTTTAAAATCCGAATCCTACTGTTGTGTCATCACCACTTTATTAAATATTTATCTTTGCGAATATACATGTTTATAATTGATAGGGACATCCGTATGCGGATGTTCCCTTGATTTCTTTGTATGACTATTTTGCAGCAATAGTCAGTCTAGTGTTCAACATTGTCGAATAAGCACTAATTGTAAACCATTTACTAATACTTGCCGTGTTATATTGAAATTGTGCTATACATATATATATATTTATACATTTATACATTTATATCTTAAAATACATTATAATATTTACAACCAGTATTTCTATCGAAAGTGTTAAATTTCTTTCTTTATAAATAATCACTATTTCCTATATACATCTTGGAGGACTCTGTGCGGATAGCTCAATAGGGAATCCAGACGGTAACCCGAACAACAAATAAATATTAAAATTTCCTCAAGCGAGCCTTACAGGTCCGCCACAAGGGTACCCAAATTTACAAGTTAAATGACAACANAGCTCAATAGGGAATCCAGACGGTAACCCGAACAACAAATAAATATTAAAATTCCCTCAGGCGAGCCTTACAGGTCCGCCACACTACTAATGGGTAGGATCTGATAAAGTCCACAAGGAAACCAAACCTCATTTTTAAGTCATCAAACATTTTTTAAAGTATACTTCAAGAAAACTACAAATATATAAAAAGTTAGTTAATTTCTGTTATGTAAAATATTGAATGACATAAGTGTATTTTAGCTACAAATAAATGACATTAAAATTTAAACACATAACTTTAATTTATGTAATAACTAATCAGATAAATAAACATGTGTCATTAATCTATAATCATGATTTTATGAACACCGTCTCGTATCGATCATAATACAATAAAAATCTATATGAGATGAAGGTGTTTTATTACAAAAGAAGTTTGGGATTTTCCTACTTGAATGATTTATTAATTTTTTTATCACTGCACTTGGATGTAAAAAAAAAGGTCAATCTAATTTTTTTTTTTGGAGGCCGAATTTTCTTGCTATTTCGTCAGTAGTACTGAAAAAATAGTGGTTATTTCAATAGACGCAATTTGAAAAAAATTTTAAGGGAATCTAATCAGTTGCTAATTGTTAATCAAACAATCAGCACGTATGTTTCGGTCTCGCTCTCGTGAAACCTGTGTGTTATTGTTATTAAATTTTATATGTGCGTATAATGCGAACCGCGGACTTATGGACGTTGGTAAGTGTTTTTAATAGATTTTTTTTTAATTAAGTGGGTCACAATAGTGGCATCAAATTACATTGTGTATAATACAACTATATTATACAAATGGATACATACGGAAATGTCTCCACAGCGCAAGAAAAAAATATAACTGTCAGCTATGATATTTGGACACAAATAAATACTGACATTGAAAATTTTAAAAAAATAATAGCAGAACTTCAAGAAAGTAACGAAAAATTAAAATGTCAATTAAGTCAAATTAAAGGGAATGTGGAAATTAACACAAGTTCACCAAAAAAAATCCTTAAAGTAACAAAAGAAGTGGCGAGAACTTCTACTAAAATCTACAAACCTCCACCTATTACAGCATGTGGGGTCAATGATATTAAAAAATTCATTGATAATCTAGCAATCGAAGAGGCTTCTGGTCATGAGCAACAACTTAAAACCTTAGCCAACGGTGATATAAAGATTTTAACGGGAGACGAACATCAATTTCGCCGTACTGTTAAAATTTTAGAAGAGCAAAAAATTGAATACCATAGGTACCAACTTAAATCTGAAAAAATGTTTAGGGTAGTAATCCGGGGATTACACCCTGAAACTGACATATGTGATATAAAGCGTGATCTTTCAGACCAAGGACACTTGGCCAATCATGTATCAAATATACAAATTAAAAAAAAAGTTGACTCTAAAAATAAAAATAGTGACTGGACATTTATTCGTCTACCATTATTTTTTGTTGATCTAGAGCCTCAAGATAATAATAAAGACATATACCAGTTAAAAAAGCTTAGTCACCAAATTATTAAAGTGGAGCCACCAAAGAAAACAAATGGAGTTCCACAGTGCAAGAACTGCCAATTATTTGGACACACTTTAAATTATTGTCACAAATCTCCTAATTGCGTAAAATGCGGAGAAAAACACAGGTCAATTGATTGCACAAAATCCAAAAAGACCAAATCAAAATGTGCCAATTGTGGAGAAAATCATACCGCAAATTGGAAAGGCTGCGCTGCGTATAAAAAAGCAGTTGAAATTTCTCACCCAAAAAAAACTACAGCAGTTCAA